ATGTATTTGTGATTGGAATGGTGAGCGTTGAGCAAGTTGGTGAACCCATCTGTACGGAACATTGAGAATTTGCCGCTTGTATGCGTGATGGTTTTTGTCCAGGTACCCTATTTCCCTCCACATGCAAAACAACTCACCCAATGTGCATGACCTTGTTGCAAAAGAGTATTGGAACTCGTTGAGTTTTTACTGGATAAACATCTGCCATTTATATTATTATTTTGGTGACTAACGCATAATCACGGAAGCACGGGTTTCCCTTGTAATAACGAGGATGATTCTGAAGTGGCCTCCACCCAACTTAACAAAGGACACGTTGCCCAGTGGAGCAGCCATTCTGGTTTTCCCTTTGTTTCGCGATTTAGCGGAGGTCGACAATTGTGCCTGACACATGCGCTGTCCAGAATGCGCGGTCGAAACTTGTTTATCTCGAATCGTCCGGGATGTTCTGCACGGCTCCAAGTAATTGATTGCCGCGTCAACTTTCGTAATGAAATTGAAGTGGAGCCCGCGCCATAAACTGCGGCAGTAACGACCCTCTTCGTCTGCCAGCTCGGTGATTTATGGACTTTAGTTGGGCATTGTTGGGCATTGCTCTCGCACGCACAAACTTACATTGCATAACACGTGCACTCAGCACTGGGGAGACAAAGATGGCTCGGCCTTCTGGCCTCGTCACCTGCTTGTGCGCACCATACCATGTATGAGGCTAGATGCGGGGATCTTTGTCTTTCTATCGTGCAGGGAATGGTTACGCGGTAGTTGATGCGCTGCATGATAATTCCGGCGACCCTGAGTTTGATTCCCGATAATGGGTAACGTCAGTGACTGGCCTTGATTGAGAATCTCACAATCAATTTGCCATCTCCAACCCGCATCGTCAAGTATGGTCAAACAAGCCACGTGACCGACATGGCATGTGAAGTCCTTGAGCAATGGATTGGCAACGGGCTTTAAGATAACAAACTACGTGATAAATACATACATTCATACATGTGAAGTAGTACCAAATATTTTGGGCAGGCAGTTGCCATGTTAGGACATAACAGGTGACGTTAAGGGAGGTGGTGTTTATGTGGTTTGTGTTTGTGCTCCCACCGCGAATGCGGTCATTTGGGTTTTAAAAGCATCAAAGTGCGTTCCGCTCACGCCAGGAGGGAGCGTGCTCATCTTCTTTTTTGCAACCCCGAAGCCAGATGTGGAAATTCCACATTCCTATTGCAGCAGCCAGTGCCCACAGGGGGGGCAATCATTATTGATTTTCATTGAAATGGTGCTCACTGGTCGTATTTGCTTGACTGGCTGATCGACACCACACAGGGATTTTAAAGTGCACTTTCAAAGTGCGAGGCACCCACCATGTAACCACCGCACCACCCAGCCAAATATTTAAAGTTTTTCCTGCAGCAAAAAATGCATTTATGCAACTCTGTCATGCATGTTTGGGCTTTAAAACTTGGTCTGCTTAAAACCTCTACATGGACTTCTTAGTATTTAAGTTGGCAAAACTATGGAATACCCGTTTTCCTGTGCCAGTGCTCAAGTCGTACATTCCTTGTAGTTGATCTGTAAACGTTTGCCGTAAAAACTCACTCAGACCAAGGCACCAGCCTTGAAAAATATTTCTTTTACATTATACTTTGACCGACTGATGCCAGCGATGAATACCATAAGTCATAAATAATAACTATTGCTACCCTTTGTCAATCCCCTGCTGGATGAAGTCCTTTCCACACCGTATGGGTCATGGTGGTTGTTGGACAGTACTTCACGATGCCGGTCAGTGTGGTTTTTGGTGAAGCAGGAGGAGGGCCCAGTACCAGCGCAGGTATAAAACTCCACTGAAGTTAGCCACGGCTGGCAATCGGATTTATTTTCCAATGGGACTACTGGGTCTCCACTACTCTTCCTCCTGGCCATGAAAATAATGGATGCGTAAACATAATGTGCAAAAAAGGTAGCACGATGACAGGGCATTCTGGATTCCAATGACAATAACAGATCATGAGCAAGAAGCCTTGTAATTTCAAATATATCCGATACAATAAATGGCTTTGGGATCTCACGATCCTTGGTGGGCCTTCGCATTTGTGCTGTGCTACCGTTCTGATATACCTTATTCCTCAAATATTTGACGATGCATGAAGTCTGTGTTTGGATACTTTGAAGGGTTACGTTCAAGGACTCCCCTGCGCCATCAGGAGCCGCAAAAATGAAATGCTCGGAGTGATTGAGCACGGTCACTGTAATCACTGTAATGATAAGGTTGGGGTGTCACTCAGGGCGGTATCGCGGTGAATGCTGAGGATAAATTGTGCTAGGAGGTACGAATCTGCCCTAAATCTCGCTTGTTGGCGGGAGTGGGGTGAGGGGGTGGGTTGGGGGGGGTGGTGATGCTCGGTTCGCGTTGCGCTCCGACTGGTTGCGGTGGTGCCGTGTTCACGGCGAGTGCGGAGAGACATTCTCCCTCCAGCACCAGAAGCCGTGTGCGGCTCTCACCTTGTAGATGCGCACCGAGTAGACCTGGCACGATACGACCCCCCGCGGTGACGTTAATTGCCTCAATTCGGGGCCCGCCACTCGATTCACCCATTTGTAATTTTTTCGACTCAATTTTACCATCGTCTTCGTTTTGGTTTTTCTCTACGTTTCTTATATGTATAGTTTTGTTTGCTCCATTTGGGTAAATTTGACAGAAGCATATTCTGTGCATATTATTTGCATGACATGTAACATTCTTAAACAGATGTGGTTTGTTTTCAATGGCCACAGGAATGGATTTTGATCATTGTGTGCTGAGCACTAGTTTGTGTCCTGTGTATTTGACATGAGTGTCAGGCTCTGGTAATGGGAAATAATACTTTCTAGGTATCATCAAGAGAGCCATAATATTGCGTGAGTGACATCACTACATTGACGATGTATTAAAACGTATGGTCTTGAAGGCACAGTGATGCAATTATATTTCTATCGTGACACACTCTGACAGTAACTTTAAAGCCTTGTGTCACATTCGTATAGCTTCATGCTCATGTTGGCCATCTGGGACACACATGCGAGGCACATGTCTACAAGATAAAGCGTTTTGTTCTTTGGGTTGCATCTTAATACGCCAGTGCCTGCCACTGACCAGGCCATGAGTTGTGGCCTCACATACAAAACTGATGCGCACTCTGCAAAGAGATGTTCACCATCTGTCATTCATCCAGAATACGGGACAATATTTATAGATGCATGTCGGATCTCACCGTTAGGCCAAGCCAATTTAATACAGTATGATGCACTGCTAGCTCTCAGTTCCAAATAAGGATTTTTTAATCTCGCAACATAATACTCGTAGCAAACATGGAATGGGATTGGGGAGAAAAACCCAAGGGGAATTTTTTTTATGGCTTTGGTACGATCATTTGTGACCAGGCAACAATCCTCATCTTGCTACCGTGGAGTTTAGTTTATTTTTACACAGTTTGCAGTTGAGAAGGTTAAGTGTTTTGCAATGAGCAAAAAACACCGGCCAAAAGTTAACTCAAAAGACTTGCTCACTCGCTCGCTTGCTCCCACCCGACTGACTGCCTTCTCTTTCACTCGGCTGGCTGTGGAAGCTGTTAAACATTCTCTTGGGAGATGGCTGGGTGGCTCAGCGGCCAGTGCTGAGCAGCCACCACTGAGACCAGGGTTTGAATCTGGGTTTCAGTCACCCTTGATTAAAGTGTATTGATTCGATGGTCTCAGTCCATTAACTAATGACCACGTGCACAAAAAAGCAGATCTTATTTGATTTCGTTGTTCACTTCATTTGTCTTATTCCAGCTTTGACAATTAATTTGTTCCGTTTGATTGACACGACAGGACCATTCGTTGTAGGGCATTTAAAAGGTGTGCCCTGAATGCGGATGAAGAGTTCTATTGAAGTGACCTCTGAAATAGTTGCATGACACTGGCTTCTGGGGTCATTCACATGGCGATACACCGCTAGCTGAGAGAGCGCAAGTGGAACATCATTTGTTGGCGGAATAAAACATTTCTCTGGCCTTGAGAATTTTCCTGACATTTTTTTGCAGCGCGGTGCTCAGTCGGTCGAACTTTAAAGGAATAATAAATCTCCCCGCGACGCCGTCGCCGCGTCAGGGCAAGGCTTGTTTGTACCAGGCATCCCGGGCGTCGTGGTGGCGGCAGCCGCCGGCACGCTTCATCGGCCGCGAGAGGCGCTGGCGTCGCCAAGTAATCATCGCACGTGAAATAGTCGCGGCTATTTTATATTTGTTTCGAGGTGTGATTTAAAGCGCCGGAACGCCAATCCCCAGGACCCGCTTGTAAATGAAACAACAAAAGGAGGGAGATTGAATTTGAAGGAAAGGTTTTTTTTTTACTCCCTCCCTCTTAAAGCGTTTTTGGAAAAAAACATCACGTGCCCGCCCAAAGCTACATCCAAAAAAACATTGCGTTTGGGCCAGGGCCCCGCAAGGGAGCATCATTGGCAGATTGAGTCCAAAGCTGCCCATGTCGTAACCCCCCCCTTCCTCGCGATAACATTGCATGATGGGTAGTCCAACGTGCTGCCGCCATCACAGCCAACACCAAGCTCCTCATTAGGGTGCCTTCCTTGACTGAACTTGATTGACACTGGCCTCAAACATAAAATGATCCCGGGCTTTGACCTCTGCATCCCCTTGAATTGAAGGCTCAATGCAGGGCAGTTGTGTTGCGCTTGGAACACTGTACTGCATTTTTTTCTGGTCCAGGTTTGATTTCTGGCTAAGATGTACAAACCGGTATCAATTGGTGTCTGGACCTCTCCCGAGCCTCTGCTAGGTCGACTCGCCCTTAAATGTGTGTGAGCATCAAGGCTGGGAAAACAAAGGTGGCCAGATGTGGTTCTCGGCACACCCGTCTACACATTTCTGGTGTTAATAGGTACTCCCTTACGGCATACATTGTAATTAAATTTCTTGTACAATTCTAAATGTTGATTGTTTGTCTTCTTGTGTGTGTGTTTGCAGTGCATTGCAACAGGCGTGTTTGCCATCCTTCTCTCCAAGAACCTGCAGAGATCTTGCTTTGTAAGTAAATAAGTAACAGAATTGTCACTCACAATGTGTGCTTGTACAGCCTTTTTTGTCAATCCACTGCAGGATGATGGCTTCCCCACCCTGTGGGTGGTGGGGATTATTCCACCATTATTACACTTCTCTACGCTGGTTAGTGCTGGTTAGTGCTGGTTAGTGCTGGTTAGTGTAGCTTCGTGACGACAGGGAGCATAGACATGTTGGCATAGAAGTACAGTACAACAGTAGATTATGCTCCCAAACATAGTCCCCGCAGCCCTATCATAACCAGCTTATACGGTACATGCTGGTCACCCGTCCGTGCGCTGTCCAGGCTCACACCTGCTTAGCATCAGATATCTGTTGAGATAGTAGACCCATTGTAGGTGATTTGCAGCTAATTCAGCACTCGGAACAGCAATGTGTCGATGGGCCACATCTTGATTCATAAGACTGAGTTGAGCTGATACTCGCTAATGGTTTGCCTTAAGTCTAGATTTGAAGTTTTCGTGACTGCAAGGATCCATACTCTTTGGTTCTTTTGGTAAAGTCACGTAGATGAAAAATAAAAATAATAATAAAGTGAAAATAACTTGATTAAATCACGACGTTTCGGGCGCAGCACAAGCGTCCTCCTGCCACTGCATTGATTTGAGAAAGCAAATTGATCAATAGATTAAACTTATTTGAATTTATGTGATTAAACAGACCCACTTGGTCATTTTTTTATTTTCTTTTGTTACCACCCTTAATTGTAATCATAATCATTTTTAAATTTAATATTAATGATCTTTGTTTGCAAATGTCAATACTTACATTTTTCTAAATCATATTCCAAGCTGTATTTTAAACCAAGGAGGAAATGTAATTGTTTTAGGCCAGTTCATAATTTTTATTGCTCAAAGAATGAACAACTGAGTGGTTCGGACGTGTTACACAAATACAAAGATCCCCCGTATAGCCTTAACAGACTGTAGGGGCAAGTGCTGTTAGCGAGCACCTATAAAGTCCGGCACGGCACACGAGGGGGTGGGTGACCAACACCACGCCCGACCGCCTTTGTCTCCCTAGTGGTGATGTTTACACATCGCACCAGGTACTCATTTGAGGCTGAGTCGACCTAGGGGAGGCCCAGTACCGATTCAGATAATCGTTACTGGTGTTCGCCGTGAGCGGGAATCGAACCCGGGTTGCCAGGTTCGTAGCGCAGCGCGCTAGCTGCCACACTACCGCTCCTGTGTCACACACACCCACACACACCCACACACACGTACACGTGTAGGAGATTCACTGGCTAGCCACTGCATAAAGAATGCTGCCATTGTGCTTGCCATCCTAATGTGCTAATTACGCAGAAACTGCATAACGTTGGCAATCTTTCCCAAAAACTATACATATCTAGCCACTGGTATCGGTAAACTTGTGCGGTAAGTTTCATCGCAATAGGTTCAGGGGTTTTATAGTTGTAATGCTTAGCCGGTCAGTGGGGTTGTTTAGCCATACTTCACCACACTTGTTGCGGGATGGTGAAGGAAGGTCCCATGACCGGTACAGATTTCACTCGCCGCTGATGTTAGCTGTGGCTGGGAATTTAACTCGAGTCACCAGGTTCATATCACAATGGTACGAATTGCACATGTGCGGCCCCATGTACCCGGAAAGCACACCTCACACCCTCACAACCGTACTGTGATCCCACCCAAAATTACACTGCCACACTACATCCCACATATCAGCAGTGAAAATGAAATCTGTGACCCTGAGCAACACTGTATATCTGCTTGCCTAATTTGATCCCTCACTGTGTTGGCCCGGTGCAAGGGCAGGCAGAAACGATGTCTTGGGGAATGAGCCTCAGTCTGGGTTTCGCCTCTCCAGCCTCTCTCTCTTCCCCACCCTACCCCCTCCATGCTTTCTGTCCTTGGATACCCCCTTGAATTTGTCACACCCGCAGTGAGATGGACCGGGGACAGGGAGGCAGCACTTGACTTTCTTTTTTTGTGAAGAATTATTATGGCAGTGAAGGTACGAGGTGGAGGAGCTTCCTCCCCCTGGGACGGTCACGGCAAGCGGACCGCCCGCGTAGTAGTGGTGTCGGTTAACTACCCCGGAGGGTGACACCGCATGGCCATTTCAACAGGGGTCGCTTCTGTACACAAGGAAAAAATGGCATTGCATTTGTGTAGCGCATTGCAACGTCAAGACCGCATGAAGTGAGAACAAAAAATCCCCTAGATAATGTATAGTTCCTATAAAACGGCAATTTAGAGAGTGAAATTTTTACAAAAAAAAACGCTCTTTGCTGCAACATAAAACGTTATTGAAATCGATTAAAAAATGAGTCGAACGTGGTTTGAGAATAAAAGTTATGCTGAATGGGTGATTTGCTGAGGACGGTAATGAGTTTCCAAGGCCTGCAGCGTAATATTAAAAGGTTCTGTCACTCTTCGTGCGTGCTGTGAACGGACGGAGCCCCAATATTCCTGTGCCATGTGAAAGCAGTGAACGAACCAAGACGAGCACACCGGAGTTCAGTCGGCCAAGAGACATCGAGTCCATGTAGAGTCTTTTTATGAGCTTAAAGTAGAACCATGATGTCTACTCTGAGTGAATTGATATGCCTCTCTCATCCAGCACCCGGTGGTCTTTCTTCATGCTCTGTACATAGAGTTCTCAGTCGTTGGTCGTTTATATGCTAATTGTTAGCCCTGAGAGCTAGGGTTGGCTGATTCATGTGAAAATCCACATTTATTATATCATGGGTGGGGGGGGGTGCAATCATTGGTGACTGGGGCAAGACCATTAAAAACATAACACAACTTCTGGTTTAACCACGGGTGGCTGAAACTCAGATCTGAACCCAGGATTTTAGCGGTACGGCCTCGGTGCAGTACTGACATCCTGACATCCATTATGAGTTCATTGGGATATTCTGTCATAAAATGTTTCTGTTTAACAGTTATTTTTATAATTACAACACAATGGTTCGGAACCAACAACAGAGATTAGCGCTGCCTCATTACTCAATTCGGCACAGAGACCCTTAATCTCAAGACCATTTCGGGAAAGATCCGGTGTGGGATGTTTGGCCAATTTCTCGTTGAGCATTTTAAGAAGATGGCCTCCCCTCGCCTTCCCTGTTCCTAGATTACATATCCATTCCCCTTCTCCCTTCCCCAACCAGCCCTGGTCTAGCCCCCCTGATTCTCCCCACTCCTGTGTCCATTACCATGGCAACAATCAGACCTTCCTGATGTGGGTATGTTCAATGGGTTGCTTATGCCGTCCGACATCAGCACCACATGCGTGGTGTTTGTTGCATTGTGATGAATGTGTGGGAGTGAGTGTGTGTGTGTCTTTGTCATGAGGGGCATTTGTGAAGTGGTTCGCGCATTGCGCTACGAATCTGTTTGATTCCTGGCCAATCGCTAACATCAGTGGCAACCGATATCACAACCTCTCCTGCACCTTCCCTAGGTTGACTCAGCCAAACATACACACACGTGATTGTGCGTGATCATCTGCACGATGGTTTTGGTCACACGACCGCCTCCCCTCATGTACCATGCAGGCCTCAATAGATCCTAGCTAAAAGCATTTGAAAGCTAAAAGTACAATGGTTGTTAAAGTTACACGTGGGGTATTTTGTCGTTTTCTGTGTTTGTATGTGTGTGTGATTTTATAAAGGGGGTGCGGTGGAGCATATTTGTCAGTCAATCTGGTGACCTAGGCTCGATTCCTGTCCCCCTGTCCTCTGCTGTCCACGATGGCCATCACTCGTAGCAAATCGGTTTCTGAATCAGATCAGCTCGGCATTAAATACGTACCTGGTGAAGTGCGGTGTCAACATCAGTCACTGGGGAGTGGGGAGACTAAGGTGGCTGAGCATACATCATGTGGCCTCCCATCACTGCATCACTTGCACGCCATGCCTGCCTTGCTGGGCAGGGATATAACGACTCACCCCCTCCGCGGTTTGAGTAAGCACAAATATTCGGGGTCCCGATTCGGTTCACATTTCTACGATTGTTCTTCCTCGCTGGTTCACGTTGACTCCCCACTGCTGCTGGGTATGCAATGATTCACCCCGAGCGAATTGATGAATTCTCAAATACAAGCCTTTCTTTGAATCAAACATGTAGTCTATATTCACCGTCTCAGTTGTAATAAAAAAAAAGTTGGTCTTGTTTATAAAATGTTTACTGCATTATCCCGGGCATAACATTTGCGTAGTGCGTAATTTGCATAAAACAAAAATAATGAAATACCGCCCACACAATTTGATGCATGTTTCACGAACGTAAGCGTAGACATTGCGCGACGACGCTACGAGTTGTTAGGTGCCCGGTGATTGCAGAGTTTTCGTGAAACGCAACCCAAGTATGATGCAACGTGACTCCTTGTTTTGTCGTACAAAATTGGATGCGTCCACGACAACCAAGAAGTGGTCAGCATAGCTGCAGGGACAAAAAAACGGAGATGCCGAGGGACGAGAGGGCACTCTCCGACGGTATCCTGAAGCACAAGATTGGTGCTGGATACAACCACATGTTCGCAAATGTGATTTGTTACTTTGATCCTTACCCGTGTATCGATGATTCAATATTAATGTGCAATTTTATTGAAGGACTCTGTGTGCTGTCTTGGTGTGGTCTGGGACTGTTCTTATTGTTCTGCTGCCCTGCCCAAGCTTGCATTTAGCGTTGAAAAATCGGCAGAAATGAACATGCTTGTGCAATGTTTTCTTAGTCAGTGACTTGCTTACCTTTTCTCTTTTGCATTCCTATCGGTTTTTTGTATTGTTTGTTGTAACTTGCCGACCCACCCCCCAACTGGGACATCTGTGAAAAGAGCTTCATAGCTCATTGGATTCCTCCTCCAGTCTAAATAAACTCTGATTACCGATTATTCCGTCTCCTCACTTGCCATGGCAGCAAACGGGTCTTTTGGTGACGTCCTCGCTCTGCTGCCTGCTGACGGCGCTGTGCTGGGTGACGCTTGGCCTGGCCGTGGTGCTCACCGTCAAGAGCAATGGCCGCAACCTGGAGCAGGAGTGCATGGAGCCTCAGGAGGTGGCTCGACACCGCTCGTCGGGGCAGTCTGTCACGCAGATGCCCTGCGCCAGTGACCCCTCCCGCCTCTACGTGAGTCCGCCCCCCCCCCTTACCAGCCTTGGGCGCCGCGGTAGTGAAATGTTATCTACCTTGCCTGGTGTACAGGTGGTCGTGGGTTCAATCCCAACCCTGACGATGCCTGTATATTTGGAATTTGCGTGTCTCTCACCCCGTGGTCGCGTGGATTTTTCCCCGGGTCCTCCGGTTTTTTCCCTCCACATTTATAAACATGCGTTTGAAGTATTTGGCTCCTATACATGTTGTACTTCATATGGCTATCATTTGTGGAAAGGTTGCTTCTGAACACGAGCTATATAGCTCAGTGGGCCTTACCTATAAATAAATATAAATATTAAAAAACCTTGCCAGCATCGACCAGCGCTGTCGCCACATTGCCACGGACATTTGCCATAGCAGACCCGAGCCGGGCCTTTCACGTTCCACGAATGACCCGGCGCTGTGCCGCTCCATGTACCAGGCCCCTCCAACGCCATCCGCCCCTGCCCGCTGGAGGAAAAGAATCGTAATTATGTTGAAGGATTAACATGTCACTGGGTTATGTTAAGCTGTGCCAAGCTAAAATCTCATACTTTAATTATCATCACAGCCACGTGGTCTTTTTTTTTAAACGCCTTTGACCACAGCGTCTCTTCAGCATTTAGGCCTTGACATCACGACCCTTAAAGAGCGGCGATCCACTCTCAACGGCGCCCGAACGTCGCATGGCAGATGTGGTCACCTCCACCAGGCACCTACAATAAGAAACCTGGATTCACATTGAGCCAGGCGTGGTGGAGATGCACATCTAATCCATTGGGCTGCAATGTTGGCAGGAGATGGCAATAGAATTAGTAAGTTTATGAAACTATCTGTGTGAGCCTTGAACTGTCATTCGCTCGTGTGTACGCGGGGCTTATCTGAGAACTCATTTACTCCCACATGCTGAGCACCCCTAAAATGCTGTTGGTCAAACATCTGAGGGCAAGACCCTCTTAAAAATGAGCTTGAAAAATCTAGTGAGGCTTTCCTGGACATATAAATAACTTTTTTTTTCTTAGACTTGTCGCCATGGTGTGTAATGGCTAGAACACTGGACTTGCAATCCAGAGGCACCAGTTACATTCAGTTTACACAATGTGGCCAATTTCTTATTCTCCTGCGTCTTTCTGCCCAGCAGTATAAATTGGTACAACATCATCGGTTTGAACGGCAGGTCAAGTGTATTTTATATAACTAGGTGAGATCACAAGAGACCCGGGGTAGTCTAATTTACAAAACGGACCCAGGCCATTTTTGCAGGTCACATGTGGTGGGGTAAATTGTGGGTTCTCACTTCTACCAAGACGTTTGATCGGTGTGGAAAAGTAAGCCAAATATACTCTTGAGGGGCTGGCTGGAGTTCCCACTCAGTCGCGTGAGCAAGCAAAATATAATTTAAAATTTACATCCATGATAACAAAGATTGAATATATGTCAAAACGCAGCTGGTAGACACTGCCGGATGCAATGGCCGTGTTGTGTTCCACAGGGGGAGGGTGGTGGTGTGTGTTCTGGAGCGCGTGTGAATGGCCTTTGTGAGCCTAAGTGTGCTAGCCTGAAATCCCGCCGCGTGTGCAGGAACGCGTGCTAAGAGCTTACGTTAACAAAAAATCTCAACTGTCCCTAATGCAAATACAGTTACCCAAGGCTGCCTCCAAAAAGCGATAATGAAATATCAACTCGCTCTCGTCCAATCGAATAAGAGACGTCCAGTCGGTTGGTAGGAGGCCATTGTAACAGCGACACGGCACAGGAACTGGCTGCAGGCAGACGGACGCCATCCACTCCAAATCAAATGAATCGTCTCGATTTGTGCAAACATTGCGGTCCCACTCATCTCCACTAAGCTGGCCAGGTGGCCCGGCAGTCGAGCTAGCATCTCGCAGGCGGTAGAGCTAGCATCTCGCAGGCGGTAGAGCTAGCAGCTCGCATGCAGTAGAGCTAGCAGTTTGCATGCGGTAAAGCTAGCAGCTCGCAAGGCAGTAGAGCTAGCAGCTCGCAAGGCGGTAGAGCTAGCAGCTCGCAAGGAGGTAGGGCTAGCAGCTCGCAAGGCGGTAGAGCTAGCAGCTCCCAAGGCGGTAGGGCTAGCAGCTCGCAGGCGGTAGAGCTAGCAGCTCGCAGGCGGTAGAGCTAGCAGCTCGCAAGGCGGTAGAGCTGGCAGCTCGCAAGGCGGTAGGGCTAGCAGCTCGCAAGGCGGTAGAGCTAGCAGCTCCCAAGGCGGTAGGGCTAGCAGCTCCCAAGGCGGTAGGGCTAGCAGCTCGCAGGCGGTAGAGCTAGCAGCTCGCAAGGCGGTAGAGCTAGCAACTCGCAAGGCGGTAGGGCTAGCAGCTCGCAGGCGGTAGAGCTAGCAGCTCGCAAGGCGGTAGGGCTAGCAGCTCGCAGGTGGTAGGGCTAGCAGCTCGCAAGGCGGTAGGGCTAGCAGCTCGCAAGGCGGTAGAGCTAGCAGCTCGCAAGGCGGTAGGGCTAGCAGCTCGCAAGGTGGTAGGGCTAGCAGCTCGCAAGGCGGTAGGGCTAGCAGCTCCCAGGTGGTAGGGCTAGCAGCTCGCAAGGCGGTAGAGCTAGCAGCTCGCAAGGCGGTAGAGCTAGCAGCTCCCAAGGCGGTAGGGCTAGCAGCTCGCAAGGCGGTAGAGCTAGCAGCTCGCAGGTGGTAGGGCTAGCAGCTCGCAAGGCGGTAGGGCTAGCAGCTCCCAAGGCGGTAGGGCTAGCAGCTCGCAAGGCGGTAGGGCTAGCAGCTCCCAAGGCGGTAGGGCTAGCAGCTCGCAAGGCAGTAGAGCTAGCAACTCGCAAGGCAGTAGAGCTAGCAACTCGCAGGTGGCAGAGCTAGCAGCTCGCAGGCGGTAGAGCTAGCAGCTCGCAAGGCGGTAGTGCTAGCAGCTCGCAGACGGTAGGGCTAGCAGCTCGCAGGTGGCAGAGCTAGCAGCTCGCAGGCGGTAGAGCTAGCAGCTCGCAAGGCGGCAGAGCTAGCAGCTCGCAAGGCGGTAGTGCTAGCAGCTCGCAGACGGTAGGGCTAGCAGCTCGCAGGTGGCAGAGCTAGCAGCTCTCAGGCGGTAGAGCTAGCAGCTCGCAAGGCGGTAGAGCTAGCAGCTCGCATGCGGTAGGGCTAGCAGCTCGCAAGGCTGCGAGTTAAAATCCTTGTTTTGGGTTGCGTTGCCTCAGCCCACCATCCCTCCAAGGTAATAATATCAGCACTTCTTTGTGGGAAAGTCAACAGTAGTTGTTGTAGAGATACAGTGACCCTTGCCATAGAATTGTGGAATTTCCACCGCTGGCTCAGGGCTGTAAACAGGGGATGAGCCACCACATCAATGCTCATTTGACCCGGAAATCACTTTGCCATCTCCATCGGTGGTCGTAAAGGAAAATTATCAAAAATTAACTGCTCTTGAAGCTAACCACCTCGGCCACGTCTGGGCTGTCCAGCGTGAACATGAAACTTTGTTAATAAGAAAAAAAATCCTTAGATGGCATGGCCAGGCATGTCATTATGCCACTTAGGGTGTCAATGACATGTCTGTATTTTGTTAAATATTAATATTAACATCAGTGGAATAATGTCTTAGTCATCGTCATCATTAGCTATGGTCAATCCACTGCTGGATGAAGTATGACAGAGTGCCTGACCATAATTTTAATCTTTTGTTCTCCTGAATGATGCTTCAAACCCATGTCTGACTGCCTGGGACACGCAAACAGCCTAGTTGGTTAGGGGCAGGATGAGAGGTGTTTTTGGGCTGGACTCTTTAAACAACAACAATAAACTGTTGACTTCTCACAAAGTGTTCCTTATTTGATGTTGATATTTGGCTGAGTTTATCACCAATCAGAATTTGATCTTACTCTTTCGATTGTGAGTCATTCTCTCAGACTAGAGCACCACCAATTTGATTTACCACCCATTACTTCACGGAGCTGTTAAAGAGTCACGCCCTGAATTCTTTCTGCATTTCTATCACGACACAACTTGTCCCCTCCGCACACACTTTGCGAGTTGGTTCACACCCCGCCTCCTCCCAGGCCCGTTGTCTGGCGCGTTCCAGTTGGCACCTGCACGCGCACGGGTTGCGGAGTTTTCTGGGTAATAGAGATGTCAGCCCGTTAGGCAAGCTACCGCGCGTGCGTACATTTGTACGCGCGCGCGTGCGTTATGACGCACCCCCAATGTGGCCATCCCTTGGCCGCGCGACGCCTGCCCCCCTCCATCTGCCGGCTGCTCCACGTGCGACCTGGCGCCCGTAGCATGTTCCGCGGCCAGCAGGCTCGCTGCTCGCTGCGATCGGGAGCCTTAAATGGGGCGTGATTCATGGCCCCCGGGGAGGAGGGGGGGGTGGCCCGTGTTCTGCTTTTTCGCCGTGACGTCGCTCACGAAGGAGCGGCGAGCGACGGAGCCGATCTGGAGAGACGTGTTGCGTCTCGGCTCGCCCGCAGCGTTCACCTCGACTTGTAACACTCGTAGGGAATTTAATTTGAACTCGGAACGTGGTGGTGGTAGTGCTGCTGCACCACGCCTGTAATTATGCACTTTACGATTATATTTTTTAACGTAATTTCTTAATGGCACAAATAAGTGCGTACACTGAAATTGTGAACGTGCAAATACGATGCAAACATATGCATTTGATATACCGATGTTACATTGAGGTTAACGGAAGCACACAAAGCTGTACAAACGGAATGGTAAAAATTATGATATTCCATAAGACAGAAAAAAACGAGACGAATCATGACACCCCCCAGTCGTGATATGTCATTGAATCGCTGGGGTGGGGGTCAATCAATACCTCCCTTCCCATAATCCAGTTCTGTGTGGGTCACAAAGACAGTAAAACCTTAGATTGCGAGTAACTTGGTCTGCGAGTGTTTTGCAAGACAAGCAAAAATTTGTAAATAAATATTCATTTGATAAACGAGCGAGGTCTTGCAATACGAGTAGTACGTATACGCTTTGTCTGCCGAGCGTCACGTGATCACAACTGATATACGAGTGCTTTGATATACGAGTGCTTTGGATTACAAACACGTTTCCGGAACGAATTATGCTCGCAATCCAAGGTTTTACTCTATGTTGCTGTGAGACTACCAGACAGCTATTCTGTGGGGTTGTCAAGATGTAGCAGGACAGCAAGCTTATAATTGACCTTGCATAAATATATCTCCGTTACGGATTCATTCAAAACTTAAAATCCTCCTAAACCTGCCCGGCTGCAATAAGGCCGGAAGGTGGTTGTGCAGCAAGTAGGTTCATAAACGTTTATCTGCGTACACTGTGGAGTGATATCCTCTATAGTCTGCATGGATTTTCTCCAGGCAGGCTGATGTCCACCCACATGGTATTGTTATTGTTGCTTTCAGCCTGAAACTTTCCACTGTTGGGCAAAGACCTCCCCGATTTTTTTCCTCCTCTTCCTTGTCTTCCATTGTTCCTGTCCACAAACTTTTGTCATTCGTTTCGCTATCTCTTCCCCTGAGTGATCTCCTATCAGAAGTTAATTTTGTCCATCTCTCGTCAGTTCTCGTGATGTTTAATAATACTCGAAATGGATTTGTTAAAATATTCTAAGCCAGGAACCTTTTGAAATGGAGCCACGAGACTCATTTATTAAATCTTTTACAGATGAATAAATGGATTCCATATTCAATGTCGTGGAGCGGCGGTGCAGTTATTAGTGCGCTGCGTTATGAACCTGGCCCACCTGAGTTTTGTTCCTAGCCACAGCTGGCGTGTGATATCTGGACCGGTCCTGGGTCTATACCTTAACCAGCGCTTACTGATCAGCGTGGTTAAGTATGATAAACAACCCCCATGACTGACACGGCACGGCCTTCATCTATCAGTGGATTAACTAAGGGCTGTAATTGTTAAATTACTGTTTCTCCTTCCTAAAACCCCAACATATGTTTCTAAAAATATTAGGCAGTTCTCAATATGTTCCCTTTGCTTTTATAAGATCACGCTCACATTTGGGGCTCCCCTCTGTACCCACACGCGTGTTGTACCTAACAAAAGTTTAAACCGAAACAGGGTATTAATAATATAAAGGGGTGTGAGTGGCTGTGTGTGTGCTCCGTGTGCCCATTTAGGGTGCCCAGGGTTGACTCAAACTGCTGCACAGCTCTTTGTCTTTTCTTCCTGGCCATTTGCCAGCACCGCAGTGTTTTTGTTTTTATAAGATTTTCGTGTGTTTTTTGTAACCCCGGTCTCCCTAAAGGGATTACCTTCGAGAGAGAGAGGGCCCGGGGAGGGTTTTTTGTTATGCCGAGAGGCAGCGGTATTTTCTTACGAATCGCCAGTTCCCACGACGCCGCGCATCGCTAATCCGACATCCGAGCACCAGAGTCCCCCCTACCCCCCCCCCCGTCCTTTCACACTTGCCTTCCTTCCCACCCAAAGAGATCCGTTTCCAAGAAAACGTGACATTACACACTAAAGCAGTGGTAATGACAAGAATATTTATTTGCGCCCTTCTATTGTATTATTTTATATGATGCTCTTTGAACGAGATGCACACACACACACAACGGCTTCCCCTTTAGCTGTATCTACTGTTGGGGCAAGTGCTGCTAGCGAGCACCTATTAAGGTTGGCATGGCACATGAGGAGTAGGAGGAGGAGGCGGTGCCAGAACAGGACTGTCTGTCTCCTAATTGCCAATGCGGATGCTTACACTTTACGCATATTACCAAGCATTCGTTTAAGGCTAAGTTGACCTCGGGGAGGCGTGCGTAAGACAGATTCATATTTCACTTGCTACTGATGTGCATCGTGGTCGTGAATTTGCATCCAAGTCGCGGGTATAATAGTGCACGCCACAGACCACTACGCCACCACGCCCCACACAAACACTGGTCACAAGCAGTGCTCGCTATCTTAACCAGCATAATTAGGAATACAACTCCACTGCAATGCAAAGTGTCGTCTTAAAACGCTATATAATCGAAGCATAATGTTGGTTCGTATAATAATGGCAACATAATGCAAGCATATGCTTCACAGCTATAATCTATGCAGCTGATAAATTGGGTTTGGTGGATTGCTTCCACCACACCCACATGGTGGTGGGTGTGGTGGCATGCGTGTGGCACACCCGCTTCGAGGTGGGAGCGAGTGAATCGCGCAGAATGCGTCCGGTTCAAACGAACGACAGCCCCAAAGTGCCTCCTCTTGTTCCTCTCTCACAGCGTACTTAAGGCTTGCCCTTCCATTACATCACGCAACCTCTCACCAAATCTCCTTCCAGTAATAACTCACTCCTGCCTTTTCAGTGTTTCGCCGCTCTCATAATTGTCTCGTGTGATGTACCACCATTAGCGTCTCGCGATACGTTTTGAATTATTTATCATTGTCGTTTACGAGGTGGGGGGGGCGGGGGGGGGGATGGAGCGGTGTTGGGGGGTGGGGGGAAGCGCCGAGGAAGGAGGGGAGTTTCTGAGAGATTTGCAAGCAAGAGACTTAAATCTGCTGATTTACAATAAATACACGTCAAACACAGCGTGTTGTTAAGACGTAGGAAGCTCGAGGTGGCCGGGTGGCTCAGAGTTCCGAGCGCTGGGTTGGCACCAGGGATATCCTGGATTTGGATTTCGGCAGATCCCTGTGATTAAACAGGGTTCTCAAGTGTGGTGAGTTGATGACCTCTTAGCCCTGTCACCGACCACTGCAAAAAAACCCTTAAATTTGGTTTTGCGCATAATTTGGCTAAATTCCAACTCTGACATGTATAAACATCAGTTTAGTTGTCTTAGGACAAACATTACTTTCTGTAGCACGGTGGGTGGGAATCTGTTGCCCCCTTCAGTGTCGCCCAAGGATCTCTCGAAGGGATCTCCGAGGCATTTGTGTAATCGGTATCCTCAGGCCGCCCTTTAACATGAAGGGTTGCACTGCGAAAGTTCCTCAAATGGATTCTTCATCTTGTGACATGTTGTAGCTGCGTCACCCCGAGCTATGAATGCCCTGATAGTGCATTGTCTTTGTGCCGTTTGGCGTTCTCTGGTCTGACACTGGTGAGACTAGGCCCTAAAGAAGGCTGTTTCTGGTGTAGACCCATCAGTTTCAAAGACAATGCCTTTATTCTCAGAGCAGGGTTTTTTGCATTTGTGGTTGTTGCAGACATGATTCCTTGCCAATTGTTTATATTTGGTGTTTGAACATCTTGACACCGGTTTTATTGCCAGAAAGGGTAAAACCTATTCATATTTTTCCATACTTTGATACGGCAAAAAAGGTCCCATGTTGATAATGATGTTGTTGCGTCGTTTCATCTGCGATGGCGATTATCCCCCCCCCGCCCCGTGCAGGACACCACGATGGCCCTGTGGTTGACAGAAGTGCTGATGGCGCTGGTGGAGATGGGGCTGTCCATCCGTTGCATCATCGTGGCTGTGATCCTGCGTGGATGCGGGCCGTGCATGCGCCCCGCGCCCTACGAGAACCACACGCAAAAGGTGGCGGAGGCAGAAACATTGACCATACCGGTCGTATAGGCCTCACCGGATGCACCGGCCACACCACCACCACCACCACTTACATCTCACCGTCTCTGCCAGCACAGACACAGATCCGTCATCCTTTGCGAGAAAACGAAAAATTCACAAAACAAACAACTCTGGTCAACCAGGTACGCAACGACGCATCGATTAACATCGATCGGTGTCGAGTCTCGCGTTTCCACGACGCGTTCATCGGGTCGCGCACATGAATCGGCCTGTTTAAGACTTGCATACGTTGTGCGTGATTGCATCATTTAAACAACCGTGCAGCCACCTGAGGTGCTACACGAACTGCACGGAGAGACGAGTCACGAGTGGGGCGAGCGTAACACGTGACTTGCTCGTCGGGCAAACGTGCCCCTGGTTTTTGAGCTCGTGCTGCCCCTGGCTCGAACCGGCTCTACTCGTGTGGCTCCTCGCGAGCGGCGGTTGCCTCTCTTCGATAGAGCCACCATTAAACGCTGGTTCTGAATCAGAATCGGAAGCTTTATTTATACTGGTGGAGGAATCCGATGAGCTATGAAGCTAAATTTCGATTTAAAGCTTTCGTGACTGCAAGGATTCATCTTCTTTGGTTCTTTCGGTAAAGTCACGTAGAATGAGAATAAAATAATAAATTAATAAAATAACAATTAAATTCTCACGACGTTTCGGCCATGACACAAGCAGCCTTCATCAGGTGAAGGGACGAGACTGTCTGGAGGACAGCGCTGGAGCGAACACAGCCAAGCTCAGACCGCGACCTTTAAGCTGTGTGAGAAGAAACAGAGTGCCTTGACAAAGGAATTAGCATAAAAATTTGCATTTAATTGGCGGACTTAGCATGATGAACGGTGTAGAGGGGGTGAACATGTGCAGACCGGCGAGGGGGGGGAGGGGGAGTTTACATATTGATGGTGTGAAAAGGGAATTTAAGCTGCTGCGAAAGTTTTGGATACCACTACTTGGCTGTGTTCGCTCCAGCGCTGTCCTCGAGACAGTCTCGTCCCTTCTCCTGATGAAGGCCGCTTGTGTTGTGGCCGAAACGTCGTGAGAATTTTATTGTGTTATTTTATTTTATCCATTTATTATTTTATTCTCATTCTACGTGACTTTACCGAAAGAACCAAAGAAGCTATGAAGCTCTTTTTTTACAGCTGTCCAGTAGGGGCGGGGTCAGAAAGTTACAGAGGTTATGGATGTCTTTGTATGTTGAACTTCCTTCGCACCGTACGTCGCTAACCGTGTCTCTTCACCCCTGACAAAAATCCGAAGGACTGGCGGCAAATGTTAGACTGAGAGAGACGAATATTGGCGGGTTTTTAACTGTCCTCTCCCCATGCACCATCTCAGGGTGGAGCGTCCGTTTTTGGAGTGCTTGCAAATGCAGTGAAACCTTGGATTGCGAGTAACTTGGTCTGCGAGTGTTTTGCAAGACGAGCAAAATTTTTAAATAAATATGAATTTGATAAACGAGCGAGGTCTTGCGATACGAGTAGTGTACGTGTACACGCTTTGTCTGCCGAGCGTCACGTGATCACAACTGATATACGAGTGCTTTGGATTACAAACACGTTTCCGGAACGAATTATGCTCGCAATCCAAGGTTTTACTGTATTTATAATCGCCTCTTACCCGTATAGATACACACATAGGGTGTCTGTCCTGGGCTGTTTGTTAATGAGGCCAAGATCGTAAAGTCACATTCGGTAGCTTTTTAGTGATGGTTATATGCACTTGGGACATTACGGCGTTTGAGAGTGCAGTCACGAGCATGCCACATTGAGTGTCGGCAAAGTTTTAGTTGTTTTGAGTTGAGACTTTATTTCAAGGTTGGCTACGTACGGTGCGAAATAAGTTCAACCGAGTAAGAAGTGCAAATGACTCGTGTGCCCATTGCTTCTTCACTCACTTTGCTTTTGTCCATTACCACCACCATCAACGATATCATCACTGCCAATACCACCAATACTCCCACCACTCATAACACTTAACACTAACCCCACCACAAAAATTAAAGATCTCCGGTGTAGCCTTAATAGACTGTAGGAGCAAGTGCTGTTAGCGAGCACCTATGAAAGCCGGCACGGCACACGAGAGGGTTGGTGACCAGCACCGTGCCCTGCCGCCTTTGTCTCCCCAGTGGCGATGTTTACGCATGGCACGAGTTCCTCACTTGAGGCTGAGTATTCCTAGGGGAGGCTCGGGACCGGTTCAGATAGTCTCCACGAGTGTTGGCCATGAGCGGGAATCAAACTCGTGTGGCAGGGTTCGTAGCGGAGCACACTATCCGCTGCACTACCGCTCCCCCCCAACACCACCACTATCAGTACCGCAAGCACCACCACCACTATCAGTACCACAAGCATCACCACTATCAGTACCGCAAGCACCACCACCATTATCAGTACCGCAAGCACCACCACTATCAGTACCGCAAGCACCACCACCATTATCAGTACCGCAAGAACCACCACCACTATCAGTACCACAAGCACCACCACCACTATCAGTACCACACTCACCACCACCACTATCAGTACCACAAGCACCACCACCACTATCAGTACCACAAGCACCACCACCACTATCAGTACCGCAAGCACCACCACCACTATCAGTACCACAAGCACCACCACCACTATCAGTACCACAAGCACCACCACCACTATCAGTACCACAAGCACCACCACCACTATCAGTACCGCAAGCACCACCACCACTATCAGTACCACACTCACCACCACCACTATCAGTACCACAAGCACCACCACCACTATCAGTACCACAAGCACCACCACCACTATCAGTACCGCAAGCACCACCACCACTATCAGTACCACAAGCACCACCACCACTATCAGTACCACAAGCACCACCACCACTATCAGTACCGCAAGCACCACCACCACTATCAGTACCGCAAGCACCACCACCACTATCAGTACCGCAAGCATCAGTACCAATACTCACCATTCGCCACTAAGTGACGGTGACGTCACCACATCGCCAACCAAGCACCACCACCGCAAACACAACCATTAAAGAGTCTACCAACTCCACTACTACGCCACCGTGAACACCACTATCACTGACACCATTACCCTTACCACCACTACAACTATTGACGCCATTAATACCCAACACTAGTGCCAACCCGTCCACCACAATTTCCAACAAAACTACCACCATAATATCCCCCGCCGATAGCGCCTAAAACCATCACATACAATATCAGAATCTTTATTTCGACTGGAGGAATCCTATGAGCTATGAAGTTCTTCTTGACAGATGTCCAATATGGGCAGGTCAGCAGTAACCTCCTTCTTCATCCAGGTTGACTCTGTGTGCATGACTCGCTATGTGCGTGCACCATTGTGTACAAATACAAAATAACGGGAAGCCCCATAGAGAACTGTGTGTGTGTATATAGAAATACACACACACAAGCATGCACAGCCCCATAGAGAATCGTTCACGGTGTGGGGTGCAGTTGTGCATTTGTTTACACACTACACAGTGAGCCCAGCAAAACGGAGTTCACAAATAGAGCAACAAAAACGGTAAATGGTCTCTGAAGCAGACCTTTTAAAATGAGTACCTGCGACGGTTTGTCAAATCACCGCTGGGGAGACAGAGGCAGCCTGGCATGCTACTGGCCAGACGACCCCTTAGATTACAGCGACCGCCGTATTATCCTTCATATCTGGCGAGATGTTAGCTCCCTCGCCTGATATGCAGGAGGTTATCGGTTCGATCCCGGCCATGACACATTTATATTTGGAGTTTGCATGTTCTCTCCCCGTGGTCGCATGGATTTTCTCTGGGTCCTCGGCTTTTTTCCTCCACATTTATGAACATGCATTTGGAGTATGTGGTCGCTATATATGTCCACGGGATAAGTCACTGCCTTTTGGCGTCATCTGGTCCAACACCGTGTGAGACGAAGCTCTAAGGAAAGCTATCTCGGGTGTGGACCAATAAGTTTCAAGGACAGTGCCAATACATGTTTTTTGTTTGCATTCCGATCGCAGGTATTGTGGTCAATGCAAACATGACTCCTTGTAAAAAAAAGGCGTCAGTTTTGTTGCCAGATAAAAGGGTAAAAAAACAAATATGATAAGTCACTTCGTTGAGCTATCTTTCATGGCCAGGGTTGCTTCTAGAAAATAACTCTATGGCTCCGTTTAGTTTATTGTTTAGTTTAGCTGCTCACTTTAAGCACTTACCCAAACAATCTGTTACAGGCTATATGTCTGTTTGTGTGTCGTGTCTTTTAATATGTGTATATGTATGCATGCGTGTGTAATTGTGTGTGTGAATGTGCATATGTGTATTTGTGGTAGCACTTGCCCCAAAAGCCTATTGAAGGCTTTACGGGGGATCTTTGTCGTGGGAGCATAGTAGTTAGCCCACTCAAACCCAGTGACCCGAGTTGGATTTCTGTTTACAGCCACCATCAGTGGCAAATAACTGAACCAGTCATGGGCCTCCCCTAGGCCAACACCGCTTTAAATAAATACCTGGTGTGGTGTGTGAACATCAGCACTGGGGAGACGAGGGCCGGGTGTGGTGCTGGCCACCCAACCCCTTGTGTGCCATGCTGGCCTTCATTGTTGCTTGTTAACAGCCCTTGCCCCAACAGTCTGTTAATGCTATACGGGGGATCTTTGTCTTTGTGTGCGTGCCACAGGCGGACGTTGAGGTGTCGAGTATCGTGGGCGACGACTCTGACACGGAGAGTGGCGTCAGCAGCGCCAAGGTGAAGTTCAATCTTCCCGAGGCACAGCCGCCCATCGAGAACCGGCAGCTCATCGTGGAGAACGCCGTGTCTGTCTAGAGCAGCGCACCGTCACGCCGCTCCCGACGTCACATCGCTCGCACCACCACATCACTCGCAACGTCACGCCGCTCGCGACGTCACATCGCTCGCACCACCACATCACTCGCAACGTCACGCCGCTCCCGACGTCACATCGCTCGCACCACCACATCACTCGCAACGTCACGTCGCTCCCGACGTCACATCGCTCGCACCACCACATCACTCGCAACGTCACGCCACTCGCGACGTCACATCGCTCGCACCACCACATCACTCGCAACGTCATGTCGCTCGCACGGCAACATCGCTCGCACGGCAACATCGCTCGCACCACCACATCACTCGCAACGTCACGTCGCTCCCGACGTCACATCGCTCGCACCGCCACATCACTCGCAACGTCACGTCGCTTCCGACGTCACATCGCTCACTCCGCCACATCGCTCACGCCGTCACGTGGCTTCCACTGTGACATCAATCACACCGTCAGATGGCTTGTGCTGATTGTTCGTCGGTGTTCTTTATTCACTCTCACTAATTGGTAACTCGCAACTTGCATTCACTCACATTGGTCATGCACACCACGTATATTTGGGTACCACTCACTGGCACAAGCAGTTAACACAGAGCGCTCATTCACGCTTACTGTGCAATCTAATTTTACACCCATTCGCACACACACCACCCATTCACAAACGCTGCCCATTCAGTTGCACCGCACACTCAATCATGCACTACAAACTCGTGAACGCTGAACGCAACGCACAGGGTGCACGTAATCACACCACGAGTTCACGCAGTGTGTGCGCTCGTGCGCACGCACGCACACAAGAAGGCGTGTGTGTGCGCGCGCACGCGTGTCTCTGTGTTTGCGTGGCCTCCTTTTGGCTGTAGCGCGCACAATGCCGACTCACCGTGCTTTAAAATGAGCGCTGCGAGGGTTCCGCTTGTGTCAACCAAGGGTAAGAGGGAGGGGGCGGTGGTGGTGGTGGTGGTGGTGGTTCAGTGACCCACGCTTGCTCCCTCCAGCCGCCTACATTAAGATTCATAAACCACTACTGAGTGCCTTCAGAGGCCCGCCATTCGCGTGCTTCATATTTCACGTCTTGTTTGTCTGTAGTCGACGCATCACTTTTAAATTAGTACATTGGGAGCCGCGGGTTCGATTCCTGGCAGTGATGCGCCTCAACATCGATGGTCAATTGGCGTCCTGGCCTGGGCCTCCCCTATGTTGACCCAGCCTTTAATGAGTACCCTTGTAAGTCGTGTGGTGCGCAGCAGCAGCATGGATGACGTAAGAGCAGTCGGCTGTGCGCGTCAGGCCGCTGCCTTGTGACGGCCTTAATAGGTGCTCGCTGATAACGCTTGCCCCAGCGGTCCGTAATGCCACACGGTAGGTGGGGGGGAGGGTACGTGGTGGTGGTGGTGGTGAAAGGGAAAATTCCCAGTAATTACGTTGGGGTGGTTGCAGCTGCATGGCGCACCGTGGGACCTTTAAATGGAGTCTGCAGGGAGCGGAGAGGGGTAGGGAAGGAAAAGCTCGAGACTTTATATCGGTGGGGGGGGGAGGCATTTAGAGATTATAAAATGGGTAACAGTGGGGGGGCGGGTGTGTAATTGAGTTTGTGATGTGGGAATGGCAGGGCCTTTGGTGGGAGAATCACAGTCATGCTTCTCAACAACACGGCCGCCATTATAAATTCAGTGTTGGTGTGAGGTTATGATGAGATGCTTAATCATTCGGGGCTATGTCGCAATAGACTTTGTTATCCTTGAATGAGTCCTAATGTTATTACTCATTATCCCAGGTGACTTTCGGTGCGCGTGGTTGGAACTAGAGTTCGGACCGCATTTGTTTCAGGGTTAGGATCCGATATTAAATTTGTGTTTGTAGGAGAAAACCGCGTGCGGGATTTTGGCCTTTTCCTTGCGGAGAGCGACGAGGCCTGTGACCACCTGACCCCCACTGGAGTCGAGAGCTCTAAACTAGATGTACAAGTTTCATATCCATCATCAGTATCGGCCATGATCTCTCCTCTGCTGGATTAAGACCTCACCCACTCTGTCGCCATATCTTGTGGGCCTGTGATACCAGTCTCGTTCCAGCACGTGGACGGATCTAATTTATCGGTTTCTGCAGTGAGCGTCCCCCCCTTTGGCTGATGTTGTGTCGGGAGTGTCCGTCGGCCGTAATCCCCCCGAGCTACGGCGTGTCCTGCCCAAGTCCACATGCTCATCTTATCAAGTCTTGGCTCATGTCTACGATTATCGTTCGTTCACTTGCCATTTCTTTTGAGTCGTTGCGAACGCACATCATTCCACTAAACAACAAGACAAACGCCAAGCGTGTCTCCCTGCTCAAAACAAACATTGGGCTGATGTTCATTCCCAATGGTGGCCTTGAGCCAGAAAAGGAAATTCCACGTGACCATGGCAGTGGATTTTCACTGTGGAGAACAAGCACTTGTTGATGTCAACAAAGTGGTACTAATTTTATTGACCGTGGAGTGATGATGGGCATTGTGTGAATCCCACACGAGACTATCACACACTCCGCATAGTTCACGTAATTGGAATTTACGCATGAGACGATCCATCGATTCATTAAAATAAATTATTATGCTCATGATATGCTTCAAATTGCACGCATGAGAATTGATTGTCTATAATAGCTGCAAATTAAATGCATGGGATACCAATGTGGCATTGATGATAGTGGAGGGAACAAAACTACAAACGAGACCAAATGAAATGAGAAACTACAAATGTGGCGGTGAAAACTCGACCAAAAAGGAATTGGTTCTTGGGTTGTTTTACAACCCCCGAATCGTGGCAATCAAATCGCATGCGGTGGGAGGGGGCGGTGGCGGCGAGGGGGGGGGCTGTGGGCGGGGGGGGTGAGTTGGGGTGAATCGTTCAGTGCCGATTGCAATCGCCCGTTCGTGGCACCGGCAACAGTCAACCGGCGTCCTCTTCATCATTTGAGGCTCTGTTTTTGGAGCTGTAATTTATTTCTCCATCCCTAGCGGCCTCGCTTTCTTAAGCGGCAATGATAATGCCTCGCGGATGTGGGTCGGGCGAACGGGATTGCCTAGAGAATTCAAGCGTCGGGGGAGGCGAGACGCGTGATTGAGACCGGTTCGCCACCCACCTACCCAACCAAACGCTCACCTACCCACACATCCATCCGTCCACCCCTACTCTCTTTTAAGGTCAATTGGAAACGCCGAGCCGTAAAGGTAATGAGCCATAGGTGGCTTTCATTAGGAGGGAGTCGCTCTGTACTATCACCTACACCAGTCCTAATACGTTCGTCTGGCTCGACCTCCCTATTAAAATCCACAATGCCCAGCGAGGGTGTGGAAGGGTGGGTGTGAAGGGAAGGCAGGTTCGTCAAACCAAAGTCTGTCTACTCGGTTTTGCCTAATGACTAGATCACGCGAAATGTGCCACCTAATTTATATCTCTGAAGCCAAGCAGGTTTGATTGCAGTTAGTGTTTGAATGGGCGACTCCCTGGGAATACTTGATAGTCGTGTGGGCTGTGAGGTGACCAGGAGATGCCAGTAGGGGATTTTGGAATATATCCGTGCAGAGATTTGATAGTGTGGGGGTTGTCTTCCATTACTGCAGGTTCCTCCCTGATGCCAAACGCGAAGGAATTGGCTGCCAAACTTTCCAATGCACCCTTCCCCTGAAAATATTGAGACCAAACCAGGCTTTCGTGGGTATTTATTTTCAAACGAGAAATTGGCCAGCGCATATCACCACTGGCAACTGCTGAGCCAGTAGTGAAAATTCCATGTTCCCGTGGCGGGAACAAATTTATTCAAAGAGCAAACGCAGTTGGCTTCCGTCAGTTGTGCATATTTCTAAGATGTATTTCACCTCGAGGAGGGAGCTGGCCAGACATTCTGAGAAGAACCCCCCCCCTCGCTCTCGCCCTAAACTTTAGCCTCGGACAAGGCACCGTGAGGGTTTTATGAGTTTGTAATCCAGTGCTCGGGAGGCGAAGTTGGTGGATCGAGCAGAGATCGGTGCGCCTATGGCCGTGAAGTGGCGATTTATTCGTGGGTATGTTGTATTGACCCGTCCGTATAAATATTGGACCCTGTTGAAAAACAGGCAGTCTTAAGACTCAGGAGGCCTCTCCTGGGTTTAAATGACCACATGAGCTCAGGTTTGACAGCAGGAACAGCTGCTGAACTGGAGAGGTATATCGACTTGTTATTATTACTATTATTATTTCGTCCTTACTGTGGGACCTAACTGTGACTGTTGACATTCCCAGATCACAGCGATCAGCTGGGTTTTATAAGAATAATTTCGTACGCGGGGGTGAACTAGGGCTTGGTAATGTGCGAGTGTTGATAAAATAAGTAAATTAAAAACTCCATCATTGACGCTGCCTCATAACAGAAATTTATATCGTCGGTTGACGATTTACAAATGAGTAAACATCAAGAGAGCAGAGGAACTGGCTGACTGTGTCGTTGGGTATTTCTCTCCATGCCGGTGTCCTGAGAAGTGGGAACGGTTTTCTGTTCTAATGAGGCGGTGTTAATGACGAGCGCAGTGAGGTGTCTGCAATGTGTGCACGTGTTGCGACCCATGTCTCGTAATGTTGTGTGCAAAGTGTTGATCGCGTCTTCGCGATGCTCTGGCGCATATGCTTTAGTTAGTAATACCCTTGAGTTGTCGCTGGGAGCTTAAGCAAGCGAGGCCAATTTTCAGAACCAAAGATAGGTGCTTAGACGAATTGCCTTAATGCCACGTTTTATTCGTTTCTATGTTTATGTAACGTGGACGCATGTCGTCTGTGTGCGTGGGGACTGGTGGCGCAGCGGTTAGAGCACTGTTGCGAGCCTGGCGACGTTTAATTTTTATTTCTGGCCAGGTGGTGTTTCCACATTTCCTAGGCATCCCCTAGATTATCTCGGCCTTAAATGAGCACGTGTTTGTAGTGTGCAAACATCAGCACTGGGGCATGGCTTTTCCGGCCACACCAGTTTGTTTCGGGCCATTTCAGCCTGAGCAGGTGCTCGCTCATCGCATTTGCCTCGACGGTCTACGATGCACGTCACCTGGCCGACGCCCGATGTGTTTGTGTTATTGTCCGTGCGGTGGTCACCGACACGCTCCGACTGACCACCGTTGAACTCCGTCACGTGCGCGGGGCGCTGAGATTGACGCTGCCGGAAATGAGTTGACCTTGCTTTGTCTGTGTTGATTAGCATCGGCAGTAGAGGGACAAAGGCGGTCGGGGCCTGATCGGTTTCGAGCCCGCTCGTCGCACGGATGGCGTGGTGGCCTTAATGGGTGCTCGCAAACAGCGCCTGCTCCCCTACCGCTGTGTTGATGCACAGGTCCGTGTGGTAAATGGAGATCTCAGTTTTATAGGAGCACGTGTGTACTCTTTAGTTTTTAAACGAGACACTGGAGTAGTGTTTTTTTTTGCAGGGCTAAGACGTTATGTGTGCAGAGAAGAAGAAAACAGCTAAAGCTGTTTTTTTTTTAAATATAATAATTTGTGAGTTTCAGGAGGTTGGCAGGTAGGGGGCTTGGAGCCAATCTTCAAGCGGAGGTTGTGAGCGCGGCTGGAGGCTCAAGCTCCCGCTTTCTTGCACACTGGCAGGTGGGAAGATCGCAATGTGTAAATCGTTTGAGTGGAAATAAAAGAAATTATACCGGAAGTATCCGTGATCCTCCCCCGTCTGTGTTCTCTCACGGTCGCGAATTTGTCTTTTTTTTACATTCGCCACTTGACTGCCCCGTTGCTGCTCCACACACCTCTACTAAGATGACGAACGAGATGAGGAAACGTCATTAATGAGAAGGGGGGGGGGGGTGCTTTTCTTGTAAGTGATTGGATTTGTTTCGCCTCGAGTATCCGGCGCGGTGCTTTCATAGCAACACTGAGGAGACGAGCGGACGTGGCGATGGCCACCACCACCTCTTCGTGTGCCATTCCGGCCTCATTGGTTTCTCGACGAACATCCACGTGGTTCCAACATTCTCCAAAGGAAAAGGCGGTGCCTACGGTATGATTTGTATTCGTGTGTTTCAATGCGCATGTACCACGTGTCGTGATCGGACATTAATCCACTGCTGGATGAAAGCCGCCTCGCCATCATCCTTCGCAAGTCCTCTGATCTCATTTCTCCCAATAGCAGGGCGCGGCATCTCATTTGCCATTCCGTCGCCACTCCATGCGAGCGGTGTGCACGTGGTATGTATGTACAGTTTGTGTGTACGTTTGTGTGTACACGTGTGTGTGTGTGGGGAGCTGTGGGGGATTGGTTAGCGCACTGCGCTACGAACCCGGCGACCTGAGATCGATTCCCGCTCACGGACAACGCCGGTGACGATTATCTGAACCAGTGCTGGGCCTCCCCCAGGTCGACTCGGCCTCAAATTAGTACCTGGTGCGGTGTGTCAACATCGCCACGAGGGAGACAAAGGCGGTCGGGCGTGGTGCTTGCCCCCTAAAGTGTGTTGACGTTATTTGGCGGCGGGGGGGGGTCTTTGTCTTTTTGCAAATATTGGTGTGTATGTTTTATCGTTTATGCACAGTATGCGACGACTTGGGGTGGTGGCACGCGTGCGCCGATTTCTGCAGAGAGCAACGGTTCGAGACCCATCAGCCGCCCTGATTAATACTGCGCTGGGTGGATATTTACCATAAAATACCACACGTCACAAGGTTCACTAGTGGACGTTAAAGATCCAGAAAAGTCATTAGGAAGAATAGGCCAATGTGTACCGGCATCAAAGTTTCAAACTTGCCAAATATTAAATAATGACACTGCAAACTACGCGATTTGAATATGCATAGCAATCACCGGCTCTCGACGACAAATGACATGGCAAGACCCTTCAAAAAATGCAAGCATAACGAGTATACCTATATGCAAAAATGTACGTGTTTCTTTAACGTGTGTATATATTTCTATGCATCTCTGAATATATGCATATCCACGGTGTTTGTATTGTGTGGGATGACTGTGTATATTTTTAATGTGTATTGTTTGTGTACATTGTGTGTTGGTATCTTTGCATGCGTGTGTATGTTGTGTTCTGTACATTGTGCGTTGTGTGTACATTGTGTGCGATCATCATGATGGAGCGGTTAGCGCGCTGCGCTACGAACCTGGCGAACCGGGTTCGATTCCCGCTCACGGCCAACACCAGTGACGATTATCCGAACCGGTCCTGGGACTCCCCTAGGTCGACTCGGCCTAAAATGAGTACCTGGTGCGGTGTAAACATCGCCACTGGAGAGACAAAGGCGGTCGGACGTGGTGCTGGCCACCCACCCCCTCGTGTGCCGTACCGGCCTTCATAGGTGCTCGCTAACAGCACTTGCCCCTACAGTCTGTTAAGGCTACACGGGGGATCTTTGTTTCTATGATGATGCAGCGGGCGTTACGCAGGGGGCGGCACGCGGGGAAACGGGGCCTTTTAAATCACGTGACGAGGGCAGCGGGGGTACAGCAAGCAGCAGCACGTGGTCAAGGTTCCAACGGGGAGGAGACCGAGGGAGACACGAGGAGTGGAGGGAGACACGAGGAGTGGAGGGAGACGCGGGGAGTGGAGGGAGACAGACACGGAGGGAGTGACAAGCACAGAGCCGGAGCGAGAGGGAGACCACAGAAGGGAGGGAGAGAGTCGCAGGGAAAAAGGAAGACTGGAGGAGGGAGACAGGGGAGGGAGGCACTGGAAGGCCAGTGGGAGGGAGACAGAGAGGGGTGGGAGGGAGAGAGATACAGAGGGAGGAGTGAGGGAGAGACAGAGTCGCGCTCACTCTCACTCAAGGGGGGGGGGGGCAGCGCGAGACTCGCCGCCTCTGGAGACAGACGCTGTAGGGGGGGGGGGGGCGGAGAGGTCCGCGCGCCAGCGCTGAAGCCACTGCGACTGCTGCTGCCGCGCGCTCAAGTGGAGAGGAGGAGGAGGTGGAGGAGGTTCGTGTCGGGAAGGGCGGCACAGGCAGCTCGGAACCTCCCGTCGGCGGCAAGGGGCCCTCCCGGGGCGGTGAGTGACACCTCTGGGCTTGCGCTGGAGTGCTGTGCTGCTGCCACGGCTGCTGGTGGTGGTGGTGGAGGGGAGTGGCTAGAGAGTAGAGAGGCGTGCGGAGAGAATTGTCTCGAGACGCGGGGCTGTTTGGAGAGACGCGGAGACACTACGCGAGGACGCTCCGGAGACACGCGGAGACACGGGGAGACACGGGGAGACACGCGGAGTCGCGCAGAGAAACGGGGAGACACGCGGAGTCGCGCAGAGACACGCCGAGACACGGGGAGACACGCGGAGACACGGGGAGACACGCGGAGTCGCGCAGAGACACGGGGAGACACGGGGAGATCTGTCGGAATGCGCCACTGAGACGGGTGACTCGTTGCTGTGCCCACGGCCGCCGCGCATCGGAGTCGAACCGGGAACTTTCGCTCCGTCTCTCTGTCTACCCGCGAACTCGATAATATCAACCAACGAGACCACGACTTACAGTCGCAACAGCAGCAGTCATCATTTATATATATAAAGCACCATCATCAACAGCAGAATAACAACAACAACAACAACCATCATCATCATCAGTGTCGGCTGCAGCAGCAGCAACAGCCGTATCAATATCAACAGCAGCGGTAACATCATCATCATATTCATAAGCAGCAGAATCGGCAGCATTCACAGACCAGGTCACTATCATCACCACCACCACCATCAGCAGCAACAGCAGCAGCCCCGTCGGCGCCACCAGCGATGCGCCCACTCAACACGTGCGCCGCGAGACAGCCGCACCGCGCACTCGACACCTGAAATCCGCGGTAGTTCCCCCACTACCACCACCACCACCACGCTGTGCCATGCCGGTCCCGAACCGCGACTACGAGAGGCGCGGCTCCGGGAGCCCGGCTGCCGCGAGCCGCGTCGGATTCCGGGCAGCCCTGGTCGAGAAGGACGGTGGCGGCGGTGGCGGCGGTGGTGATGGAGGAGGAGGAGGTGGCGGTGATGGAGCAGGAGGAGGAGTAGGCGACGGAGTCGGAGGAGGTGGTGGGAGCTTCGGCCGCGACGACGGAGATTCTCTGCTGGGGCTGCAGTCCTCCGGGGGGCCCGGTGGTCCTGGGGGAGCCGCAGGGGTTGCGGGGCTACAAGGGGACCCCTTCTCAGGGATGGCGATGCGCGTCCGAAGCGGGAGGCACCAAGCCCGACGCGCCCCGGGGTACAGGCGCCTGCAGAACGTGCTCTACAACCTGCTGGAGCGACCCCGCGGGTGGGCCTTCATCTACCACGCCTGCGTGTGAGTACGGCCTGCCGTGCAGCAGCAGTAGTGAGTGCAGCAGTAGTGAGTGCATCAGCAGCAGTAGTGCGTGCAGCAGTAGTGAGTGCAGCAGCAGTAGTGAGTGCAGCAGCAGTCGTGAGAGCATCTGCAGAAGTAGTGAGTGCAGCAGCATCAGCAGCAGTAGTGAGTGCATCAGGAGCAGTAGTAGTGAGTGCAGCAGTAGTGAGTGCATCAGCAGCAGTAGTGAGTGCAGCAGCAGTAGTGGGTGCAGCAGTAGTGAGAGCATCAGCAGCAGTAGTGAGTGCAGCAGTAGTCAGTGCATCAGCAGCAGTAGTGGGTGCAGCAGTAGTGAGTGCAGCAGTAGTGAGTGCAGCAGTAGTGAGTGCATCAGCAGCAGTAGTGTGCGCAGCAGTAGTGAGTGCAGCAGCAGTAGTGGGTGCAGCAGCAGAAACAGTGAGTAGAGGACGAGGTGGGTCAACTTCTATGCAGCAGGGAAAAACTATAGTGCAGCAGCGTGTGCAGGAAGCGGGTAACTAAGTGGGTGAAACTACGTGCAGCAGGGAGTAGAGATTGCAGGGGGTGCAATGGAGTAGGATGTGCAGCAGGGAGTAGGGGGTGCTGCATTAAGTAAAGAATGCAGCGGGGATTGGGGGGAGGGGTCAAGGGCATAGAGCAGTGGAGTGCAGAGGGTGCATCATGGTGTGGAGAGTGTGCAGCAGGGGATGACGAAGGGAGTCAACGGGGGTGCAGCTGGGGGTCGACGAGAGAGTGCAGCAGGGAGTGGATAGTGCAGGGTGTGAAGAGTTGGGGTAGACCACAGTCATTGTGCACTTCCAGCGCATGACCACGCTGCGATGAGTGGGGGTGAGCTCTGATTCAACACTTGGACTCTCACTCACCCACTCACTCACCCACTCAACAACATGTGAAGGAATACATCGTGATGTTCTACATGTCCACGGAGGTCCAGATTTCTCGCGACCCCCATTGAATATTCTAAAACTTGAAATTGCTTAAGTAAGGTTAATTTTAAGCAGAAATGAATATGTAAAGGAAAACAAATTTTAGGCGGTCAATTCATTGGGGGGGGGGTCACAAGACATCTGGACCGTCCTGGAGATTACATCCACGGAAGAGCTTTTACGTCGTGCGCGCGCGCGTCAATCTGGAGCGTGCAGCTCGAGATGTCCCTCCAGCCCCACGTGTAAAAAAAACCCACAACGTTGGGTTGCAACTTGGAATCAAGATGACAAGAGGTGCCCCAAATTTAGTCGAGTTACGGCCAATTCCCGCACAGAGTCGGCAGTCTTGAGAGCGACTCGGGAGTAGAGAAATCAAGAGTTGAGGGTTCGAGAGGAATTCTCACATCTGTACCGCATGCGGGGGGGAGGGGAAAGGGAGCCCAGGGAAATGACAGCGATGCTTTTGCTCAAAATTGCCCTTGGGGAGCGCCGTACTCCATCGTTTCCGCGGCTGTCTGATCAGTTTGCTTTCTGCCGCCAATTCACCACTGATGGTAAATTGGAGAGAGGGAGAGAGGTGGGAGCAGAATGTAAGGAGAGGAGGAGGAGGAGGGAGAGAGAGATGAGATGGAGAGAGGAAGGATTGCTAGAGATGGGGGAAGAGAAGATGAGAGACAGAGAGAGAGAGAGGCAGTGTTGTTGGGAGGGTGACTTTGAAAAAGTCAACTGATTAGAGATGATAGAAGGCTTAAGAATTAATGTAACATATTATCGTTCCATACTTGGTATTTTCAAAGCAATATAATTAAAGTCACTTGATTACTTTAGTAACTCAGCACGTTCGTCAATAGCACTTTGACCCTAAAAGGGGAAAATATATGACAGGTGACATTTTGGGCAATGGCCTGTCTCCAGAACAGACAGATGGAGGAGGAGGATATTCGGCTGAAATGTCACCGATTACATACGCTCCCTTTTAGAGCTGTGTTATTGACGAACGTGTTGTGTATTTGTTATTTGTGCACCGTTACCTACCCAGCACGAGATCAATAGTTTGATTTTTATGATTAGTTCAAATTAAGCACACGTCTAGGTGATGCAACCTCAGAATAACGTGGCTGTAAAGCTGTGGATTGTGACCTGTGTGCCAATGATTTCGTTTTCAATTATCTACCCACAAAAGGCTCGCTAAGACATGCGGGAAGGGTCCCGGCATTGTGATGTTGGAGACTCCCAGAAGAAGAAAAAAAATACCCACACGCTCGTTGGGAAAAAAAACCCCACACTGCCAAAAACCCCGCCGACCTGGTCACCCCAAACCTTCAACACCTGGCCCAGCCCATGTGATCAAGTATTGACCAGGCTCAGACCTGCTTGGCTTCTGAGATCGGGCGCATCCGGCGCGGTTTGGTCACATGGGGAGATGACCCTCGCGTGGAGCCCAGGTTGCTGCTGGGGGGTGGGACCGTCCATCGATTGCTCCTCTGAAATGTTTTTTGTTTTGCAATCGTTGTCACATTCATAAAGATGTGATCCTGCAGAGCAGTCCGCCGCTACCCGCTGAGTAAGCGGCAATTGTCGCGAGCGATTTATTCCAGTGAATAACGTTCATCCCACCATTGTCACTCCACTGCTGGATGAAAGTCTCCTCCCCCATGCCGTGTCGGTCGCGGGGCGTTGCTTAATCATACTTCACGCCGGTCATTGGGAGTTGGTAAGAGAACCGTCCATGGACTGGTTCGGATTTATACCTCGCCACTGATGTTAGCCCTGACCAGGAATCGAATGCAGGGCTCTGGATTCACAGGGCAGTGCGCTAACCACTGCGCCACCACCTCGTTCACCCCCATCCATATTTGTTTGTTTGTATTATTTATTTATGACGAGCTCATGAATGTCGGCGTTTGTGAAGGGGACGTGGTTACTCTGGGGGTGCGATCGTTGACGTGTGTGTGCGCATCCCTGACGCGTGTGTGTGCGCATCCCTGCGTCTGGGACCGTTCCCTGCTCTCGCAGTTCACGGATTCGTCGTGATTTGGGGGGTCACGGTTCCATTCGGAACCAATTCTTGCTGTTACTATTCTTATTTTTTCATTACAATTTTACTATTGTTGTTTTACATCGCGGTGAACGTGGCGGCCCCTGTTGGCCGGTGAGGTGCCGTGAAACCCATCGCGACGACACGTCACCGTGAGCCGTGCTCTATCCACTGCTTGATAAGGCCTCTCCCTCCCTCGCGCTGTCGTCGTCCCTCGAGGTGCTGCGATTCCGCATTGCGTCTCGCTCCTGGACGCGAGCGGATCTCATCGCTCCATCTCCACAGCGGAAGTGCTCTCTGGAGCGTTCCCTCCTTTGGCTGCCACTTCGTCGCCAGTCTCGTCCATCGATCTCCGCCACTTGCTTCGGCGCGCTCCGCCCAAACCCCGATGACTTTCCTTAGCCGTCAACACGACTCCTCTGGTTTGTGGTCCTTCTCTGATCCACGTGCTCCTCTTTCTCTTTCTTTGTGTAATTCGAAGCATTTGTGCGCCTTCGATCGGCTAACGATGACGTCCATAATAATAATGTTGATAGTTGGAAAGTCACATGGTAGAAAGGTGGCAAAGTAGCACATTGCAGATTCAGGACTCTAATACTCGTGGATGAAATGGACGCGGATCTCCATAAAAAAATGTATCCCAGGAATCAAGCCACACTTTTCAAATGCGAAGGTGGAAGTTCGCGGACCAGTTGACTGACTGTTCATACGCTAATGAAATCCCTCCACCAGTGGAATTAAGCCTCCTTAATTCTTCCGAACAAAAGGGGATAGAAACTGTCTCGAAGCACTACACCCCCATCAGCCTCTTGTAATGCAGCCATAAATTATTCACAGCGATCGTAAGGGAAAGAAAGTGTACATTTGAGAGGCCCATGAACCGCATGAGTATGAGCAAGGTGAATTTCGCGAAAGGTTTCTCTACCATTGTTCACCTACGTCTGCTAATTGAAATCACGTCAAGCTGTCCGTTAATCACGAGACTCGTGTGTGGCCACGCCTACTCTGAACCCCTCCCCCTGTCACCGCCCACTGTGAGAACAGTCTCCGCTGCCTCTCCGTGCAGCAGCAGCAGCAGCGTTGAGGTCCTCGTGTAGCCTCTTCCTCCCTGACACTCATCTCTCCCGAACCTTGGCTCCCATTTCTCCATTCCTTTTCCTCTTTATTTCCCATTCTTTCTCCTCGCTCTTCCCTCCCGTTCCTTTTCCCACGCATCGCATCCTTGACACTACTTCCCTCGCCCGTGGTGTTTGGGTCACGGGTTAAAACATGGGTGAGGTGAATAAATAAAAAAAAGCCTCGACCATTATACCTGGCCTTTGTAGATGAGAAGGTATTTGAGTCGGTGGAAACGTAACTGTGACAAACCAAAGCGGATAAAACAATAACGACAGCTTCTACAGCGCCGTTACAGGGCAAGCCATTACACTGGCGCTCAATAATAATAATAACAGTAGTAAAACAGAAATGAACAAAACTGTCTACAAAGAAGGAACCGCTACGCTGAGATTGTACGACAGCGGTGACAACACATGTTTTCTGAAAGTTTGGAGTGGAGAATCAAAGGCCCACAAACACGAACGGAGAGAAATCATTAACCATCTCATATTTGCTGATTACAGTCATTATAACAACCAGTGGAAATCATCTACAGTACAGAAAATCATTGAATGGCATTAACAGAGACGGGTTGCGGAGTTGGGCTCAAGATAGATGAGTGAAGGCAAAAGTGTTGTGCAGCAAGTTTTGTTCAACAATTCCAGGCATCTGTCTGGAAGGACCTCAGCCAGTGAACACAACAGAGGGAATCTCCCACGCGCAGTTATTGATAGCCGACCAAATCGTCGTGATGGGACTAAGAGGTTCACGAGAGCCGTTTGGAGCGCTTTTGGATAACGAAGAGGACAGTTTTTTAATCGGTGCAAAACAATTGTTTACCCCCACCACACACGGATCAGAAACATGGTCACTGACGAAGAAAATGGAGCACGTTTCAAGTTAATTTTGCGTGACCGTGC